GTATCAACTTTACTGAATTCTCCAGCTATGTATATCTGGACCGCGAAGTCAGTATGATGAACGACTCGGGTCCAGACCTGAGCAGGAGGAAGCGGGCGGTCTGGGGAGCTTTCAAGAATATCAAGAATGTAAAGAGGAGAACAGAGAACACCTGATGTCGTGCCCACTTTTTCCACCACATGATTCTTCCTGAATCAAATCAGCGTACGCCTCCTCGGAAATCTGGTCGCTTCGTAGGCAGGATGAAAGATCACTTCTAGAACGCTTAGTCGAAAGGACGAGGCGGGAACTATCATGTATCGCGTGAGGGAATGGATCGGAAACTCCGACCTACCGCATCATTGTCATCACCATCCAATCCTCTCTTCTCGCCTCTTCCTCTCCGTCTAAAAGAAAAGAAGAATGTCCCGCATGGAAGACGATAAGAAGAAACCAATTATTCTAAATAGGTGTTTTTCTACTAAATTAGCTGATTCTACTGAACTCGGAATTCGATTTAACGCTGTTTTTCATGCGGATGTAACGTGTGTTAGACTCCTATGTTAGACTTCATAGCGCAAATAGAACGACCAGTACTTGCTTGCTTTGCGAATGAACTCTTTGATACTTCGAATTGATTAGTCTCAAGTGTCCTATGAATACCTTAAAAACCCATTTTCATCAAACTTCGGCAACAATAATCAATAGTTTCCTAAATAACTGAGCAGATACGCGACTAGTACAAAATGTTTATTCCGCTAACGTCTCGACGTCTTCGCTTTTTTCAGAGCCGCGTTGATTCGATTCGGTGGTCCCCAGCTGATCTGCTTCGCGCCTTTGTCGCTACTTGGATTTTCGTTGTCGAATCCAGTCGAACCTAGGGAAGAGAGCTCCGCTGGAATAGACTTCACCCAGCGGTACCCTTTTATACACAATGGATGCGATGGATTGTCGCCTCCAATATGTTATACTCTAGGCGGGCAGTGCGTTCCTGTCAGCTCAATCATACAGACAATTATTGTCCTATGAACGTTTCTTTTTAAGTGGGGTTATCGTAGTCAAGCCTTCTCTTGTCTCTTCGCCTTTCCTTACATTTATTGTCGAATGCGACGCGTTCGACTTCACTCCCAGTGTCATAGAGATGACTAGATATATAACACTTGTACAATGACTTTCATCAGTCTACCGATGTATCAAATCACTATGCTTACCCTCCCAGATCAGTTTTGTGACAATTTCCCGACTCCGGAAAAATGAAAGGCTTAGGAACCTAGAATCGAGCCAACGACCAAGTGTGTATTACAGGGCACGTCTAACCTTTGCGCCATAAGCGCCGAATAACAAATAGCTAACAACACTAATGAACATTTCGTTGTAACAATCAGTGTTAACAACCAAAATTGGTGATAAATGATGGCATATTAATAATCATAATAACTAATGAGCAGTGGTATTTTTTATTTTTTCATTTTATTTGACCCGCCTCATGTCTACCGCGCGGATCCCAGCACTTCTCACATTCAATTCGTTTCTTCGCATCCATCATCCACGAAGATCTCCCAACTTTAAGTGTGGTTACGGTTGCTACATGAAGATTTTCATTTCATCTTGAATGTCGTAGAAGCTGGTCGAGCAATTCTCCCTGGAGTCCTGAGATAGGCGGGCTGGAGCGTTCTCAATTGGATTACTGAGAGTGATTCTTTCCCCAGACAAAGCCGGTACCAATTTCTCGACCCTCGGAGGGATGAGAGGCATGAGAGGCTTGGTCGGCCTCGAGCAGAATCGAACTAGCACCATACTCGTGATGACGGGCATCACTACCACTGTGCTATCCGCCCCCTGAAGTCATATTATGTAAGATGAAAGTAGGCCATAATATTATTGCATGAATTCCGCTTACCGCTCATGAAAAACTCTGGGTTACTAACCGAACATTTTAACACTAAGACTACTTACTAATCATTGAGTGACTTATTGTTTTGGATCCTCATAATGAAGTCTAGGTCGGTGTCAATTGGCATTCCTGTAACGAAATCTCTACCTATTCTTATGCATTGCATTTATTACATTGCTTGGATACTTGGATGGCCCGTCCTCACTGGTCGTGCGCGCTCCAACATAATCTCTACTTTTTCGGAGTTTTGCTGGTTTAGCCATTGTGGTTCCCTGGAGTTCCGAGGCCAGCCTGGCCAATTTCTTCCCCAGGCCGTCACCACCCCAGGCACGCCGCCCTTGTGGATCAGAGGAAGATTTGCCATCATGAGATTAGTTTGATAACAGGATCGTGGTGAGTCCTGGTATTGGTTTACTCCTAGCTAGGCTTCCTGATGGAAACGCCGTACTCCTTCTCAGCTCGAAGTACCCTTGCGGGGGTATGAATTCATCGCTGTACATCGCAGTCCGACACGCAAGAATACCTCCCAACCACGATGACGCGGTAAACCGTTGGGAGGATTTGTTACATTAGAGGAGGTTGATTTGTTACATTGCATTTATAAAGGAACATCAGGAAGAAATTCGTTAAAATGTTCTATTTTGAAATCTAGGCAAATAGATTTTTTACGTTCATTCTCGAAATCAACAAGGATTCATACCGATTGACCAATGCTTGATGTTACAAGAACGATGTTGTTAGGGGTGCTATGAAGGTGAACTTGCCAACAATCGACTACCAAAGCTACGTTGTCTCATTCCATCTTCCCAATTTTGTTTTCAACAGTACCGCTGAATAATCCCAGCGAGATGTCATCATATTCTCCCATCTATCGCCTTATGTCGATGGTTACAACGTTACAAAGTAGTGAAATCCTAGCCGTCCAGCTACTCGTGAAGGCACTGATTACCCAGCTTCTATGACCGTTTCCACAACATTATGGTCGAAGGGGCACCGCACATCTCCGAAGCTAATACATCACGAAACCTTGTATTTGCATCATAATTTAGTGAGCTTCCTCAGCACATGAAAACACTTCATCATAATGGAGTCTTTTGGACAACATACTTGCAAGATCGTCCCTTTGAGAATTACTTGAGTGAAAACTCCAGGCGACAAATACCACCACTCAAATTATGCCATAGTTACCAGTGCACTGTAGATCTCTATTCTGCAACTACACTGTCCCACTGGTATAAAAAGAATAATGCTGTTGGCGTTGATCGATCCCTGAGGAATGCGCCATGCATTCGAATTCGTTAAGTATCGTTTGGAGGTGATTGAATGCATATCTGGCCTTTACAAGGACTCGCAGTGGCCTACCGGTGTTTCGACCCAGTGCTGGTATCCTCGCAGACAAGCCTGGTATCAGTTTGCCGACCCCTGAGGGATAGAAGGCTTGTTGGGCTTCGGGCGCAGTGATCAACTCCACATATATTGCAGGCGTCTCTGAGCATTGCACCACACGCACCCACTGGTATTTAGATAAAATCCTAGGAACTGGCAAAATGAACATTGAAAAGGACATGTAGGCAACAGTGTGGAACTTTGATATAAAAGCAAAATCAACTATCCAAACCTTTGATTTATTGTACTGAATGCCACTTCGCTATGGAGCTTGCCTTAAGAAGACTCACCACGGACAACACTGATGAAACACTTCCATAATTGTATATTACCACTTATACTCTTTTTCACCACAATAAGCGCAAAGAGGTTCTCACGTAGTTGTTCCTACAGGTCAATGTTCGACCTCGCCTTGGTGAGTGCCAGCAAGCCACTGGATCACAATAAAATTCTGCACAAGCATTAACATTCGCCACAAGATCCTCAAGCATCATAGGAATCGCTTCAATTGATTTCACCAAAAACTCTGGTGGGATTCAACACATCTCGCATTCGCCTTCCAAGGTCTTCTAAATCGTTAACTTGATAGAGTAGATTTGTCTTTTAACCAATACCAAGTAAAAAGTCGCAAGTTGTTTAGTCAGGGCTTATGCTACCACCTCGTTCCGGCAATGACCATCCACCTCTCTCCCAGGAAAGTAGGCATTCAGCTCTTCGCGCGTAACAGTAGCGAAGTGTAAGCGCCATTTTGTATCATATCGACTAGGATACTTGGGTGGTATATCGTCACTGGCTGTGCAGGCCGCAGTATAATCTCGTTTTTCAGAGTTTTGCTGCCCTAGCTATCGCGGTTCTCTGGAGACTCGAAGTTAGCCTAGCCACAGCCTGTCCCAAATCACCACCACGGGCAATCACCACCCCTGCCTATTGGAACGAGATTTGCCATCACGTAACTAGTTTGATATGAGGACGGTGACGGATCTTGGTATTGGTTTAGTTTCCTGATGGAAACGCTGGTCTCCACCTCAGCTTGGAACCCCCTGCTGGTGGTATGAATCCATCCTCTGTACATCGCAGCCGTACGTACACCTGGAAAATCTCCTAACCACAATGACGCGGTAAATCGTTGAGAGGATCTTGTATGAAAAGTAAAAAATGTATGGAATACGATCTCAAACGCCCACATGTCCTAAGGCAATCAACTGAGCGGTCGAGGACGATGTAAGTGGCCGAACTTAAATTGTAAATAAAAGCTGCATACCCAAAAATGACGATGGCAACTGAACAAATTGGAAAAAGTGTGAAATGAGATGAAGAATTTAAGTACCTCTATCTCAACAACGGTAATCGTTTCATATTCAAGATTAATATAGATGCTCTAGCGTAAACACCAACCAATTAACCACTTGAGCAGAACGGCTAAGGTGTAATAAACATATTTTCCATATCCAATTAATTTCACGTTCACACACATTCTCACTCTTTACTCTTCAGAGTACTACATTCTAGTAGAATCCAAAAAGTCTGAACAGCATCCACGTGGACACGGTTACCATCACTTTTATACACCACACTTTATACAATCTTTACAAAAATCACGAACACTACAGAAAAGAACGGTCCGTAACAAAACGCTACTACAACAGAACTAAGATTTTGAACCCTGTAACTAACTGATAACATCGCGATTAACATGAATAGTTCGCGATAAGGAAAGTCGTAAAATTCGCCAAATATTGATCTATTTGGGTCCGAGCATGTTCTCAGGTCTCACCCACTGGGCAAACTGTTCTTCAGTCAGAATACCAAGCTTGATAGCTTCCTCTTTCAAAGTGGTGCCATTTTTATGAGCGGTCTGCAAATTCAAAGCGAATTCAGTGACTCTCATACAGGCATGTTTATGACCGACACTGCTTTAAGGCATCAGTCTAGCCTTATCAATGATATGCGAACCTTAGCTATTTTAGCAGCGTTATCGTATCCAATGTGTGGGTTAAGAGCAGTGACAAGCATTAGAGACTCACGCATGATCTTAAATGGAAGATTTGGGAAAGCTCAATCGAATGACTCAATTTAATACATCGAAGCTCAAACTGCACATTCTCCAACCTTTGCAATGTTTTCCTTGTTGGCAACTATACCATCAACACAATTCACCGAGAAAGAAACAGCAGAGTCAGCCAAAAGTCTGGATAAACTCTCATTTTCATTCGACCTCATGGCAGAATAAGCTCAAGAAAGTTGAAACACACCAACCTGGTTGACTGCAGAACATTTTTTACCATGAGTGGCTTGAATACGTTGAGCTCAAAATGACCATTAGATCCCCCGACAGTTACAGCTACCTACAATTTTTTCGACTGTTAGCTGTTTCCTTTTGGCTTTGCAACTCTCACGAAATATCACAACAAAGGAATTTGAAGGATTCTACTAATTACAATTCACAAAAGGACATAACAGACACACCTGATTTCCCATAACTTGAGCCGCCACCATTGTTAAAGCTTCACATTGAGTTGGATTCACCTTTCCTGGCATGATCGAGCTGCCTGGTTCGTTCTCAGGTAGTGAAAGTTCTCCCAGGCCGCATCTCAAGGACATTTTACTTACTCCTGCATCTATGCTACATATGTTCGAATTTGTTATGAATACAACTACCTTGGTCCAGAACCTAAGAAACGAATATCATTGCCGATCTTCATAAATGAAGCAGCCAAAACATTCAGCGCACCATGGACCTCTACGAGTGCATCATGAGCAGCCAACGCCTCGAATTTATTTGGTGCAGTTGTAAATGGTAGTCCAGTGATATCAGAAACGGTCCTAATCATAATGAATAGTAGCTTGAGAAATACGTGGACCATTACTTCAACTTATCTAGTTTTTTTCTTTTCCGCTGGTTCTCTGAATTAATTAGATTTTCTCCATGCCCTATTAATGTTCAAGATGCTTTTATCTTCAAGAAACTTCGTCTCAAAGTCTGTTAGGATCTATACTTCCAAGGATAAAAAAAACAAGGCGGGATAGAAACCGTGTAAACATTTATGACTTCTCTAAACGTTTTGCCAAATATATTTATGATCAACCGTTACATTCCAAATAGTTCAATCCTCTTAGATACCAGTAGTCAATACCATCTACTCGATTATGCCTCATAAAATACCAGCTTTTATACTGGAACGTAAACAATATTGAAAAATACAGCCCGCTACTATTTGTATCAACATCGCATTTAGCACAAAGAATGCTCAACGTACTTCGCAACTTTCTCCGCAAAGCCCTTTCGGGTATTCAACCCTGTACCAACAGCTGTTCCACCAGCAGCTAACTGATAAAGCCGAGGGAGCACAGCTTTCACGCGTTCTATTCCGTTGTCGACCTATAATGTTCCTGAATTCTTGTACCTAGTTTCCTCTTACTCTTTCGACTTTATAACTTCCAACACCAAATTAGTAAACCAGGACCAAGCAGAACTTTCCCAGAGAAAATTAAAATTACTATTTTTTACACATTCTTACCAACGGATACACGCTATCTATTCCATCATGATTGAATCAGAAAACCTTCATCAGGATACCGATTACTCAAGATTTTCTCAGCAAGCAGTTTTCTAAGTGTGTCGAAAGTGACAGGCAGTTAATGGAATTTTTTTTTACAGCACTAGCTTGCTGAAGTGAATTGGCCAGGTTTCAACGATTAAGTGATTCTACTCACCCAGCATGAAGAACTTATAATCCTCTTTTGAAGTAAATTTGTCGGGATATGCCTCCACGACTCACCTATGTCTAATCTTGCACAGACCGTCGTCAGTTACCTTAGAGAAATTATTTCTGGTCAAATGTAATGCGGTCAATAGACGGGCTGCTTTTGTAGCACAAAAGAAGAGCAGAACAGACTCCATAATGATAAAGAAACTTTTACTTAATTCATGCTACGTCTTCATTGAGAAATTTTCGCGTTGAAAAACCGGTTGAAACGTTCCATAGCTATTGGTTCTATTACGATTAGCAATTCTACGAGATACAGGTTTCAAGCCTTGTGAAAGGATTTGTGCTGATGTATCCAAATGGTCATCGATATGTAGAGTGGGTCACTGCTATCTCTCCTCCCTCCTTATCTTCGAGGTTACTTTTATCAATCTTAACAATTTCTGTGGGCTTAAGCTCAGGTTTAGAAGTAGCATCCTCCTCTTCACTTTTTAAATCGACGACCTAAACTCAGAACAATACAAGGATGAAAAACGCTAACAAATCTTCTTTTTATTTTACATAACCCGTCAACATATCCTCTTTTAAAGCAAATTTGTCGAGATATGCCTCCACGATGCAAATTCAAGCACTTCCTACATTCGATTCGTTCTCCATATATTCATTGTTCACAAACATCTTCGAACATTTCGTTTGCTGTTTCGGCTTCTGCTTGAGGATTGCGTCTTCCTTATGAACGTTGTACAATGCTGGTCGAGTTTATTTTGCTTGTAATCTTAGCTATAGTCGAGCTAAGGTCTTTCCACGTGAATTAGAGTAGAACGTTGGGGGGGGGGGGGGGGGGGGGGGGGGGGGGAANGGGGGGGGGGGGGGGGGGGGGGGGGGGGTGGTGTGGGGTTGAACCAGTACTTTGCTTTCTGATGGACTGCGCCATTAACCACTGCGCAATCCCCTCTCTGACAAACGGTAACTATTAATTAAAAAAATTGCAGCAGAAAATGCGTATTTTTTAAAGAACATTGATAAAAAGCATAGATATTGTTTAGAAACAAAGTGTCAAATAGTCACTTTTTATATACTATTCTTTTTTTATGGTACAGCTTGATGTGAAATATAACCGCAACGCATTCCTCCCCGGAAAGATAGCGTGTTCGATCCCCACCACAGACAACAGTGACTCAGCGGTTTGCAAATACCTCAGCATCATTATGGTTATTATGGTTAACACAGCGATGCCGAGACATTTGCGAAAAAAAAGCAAGTGTCAAATGCTTAATAGATAAGCCTTAGATTATCTTTGTGACAATCTTCTACTAGTATCAAAAAAGAACATCCAACTGTAACAACGAATTACATTCCATTTCGTACCTGCTGAACATAGCCCGAAAATTCCTGGCCAAGTGTGAGTGGCACTGCATCCTGCGTATGTGTACGACCAATCTTAATGATGTCTTTGAATTCGAGCGATTTGTTGTTAAGTGATGTACGAAGTTGCTTGAGAGCAGGCAAAAGCCGCGAGTTTATCTGAAATAACAAATTCAAGTGCCTCCGCAGAAAAAGAGGTTTAGACAACTTCCTTCCACAATAACACTACTTCCTAAGAGTTCAAACCTCTCTGGCAACAGCAATGTGCATTGCTGTCGGGAAAGTATCATTGCTAGACTGGCTCATGTTCACGTGGTCATTAGGATGGACTGGTTTTTTTGAGCCAAGTTCTCCACCAAGAATTTCTATTGCTCTAAAACACGAAATGAACACTGAAAAATTCAACGTGAACGAACTGGAAGCATTTTTTCATTTTCCCATTACAAAAGAAAACCTTAATTTTCCACAGAACTACGGCGGCTCAACCTTAAAATAGTGAAAAAACTTTCCGAAGCCTCAACCAATATTGACAGCGCCAATGGAAATCCCTTGTAACACTATAGTATTGGTGAGACTGGCAAAAACTTCGAAGATTTGGTGTAATATCATATTTTCTAATTCCATTTTCCAGGATAACTTTCCAAAAGCACTACCTGTTAGAAATCACTTCATTCACATTCATGTTGGACTGCGTACCTGACCCAGTTTGCCATGTAACCAAAGGGAAATGATCGTCAAGTTTCCCTTGAATAACTTCATCTGCAATGGTAAACATCATTTCTGCCATTTCATTATGAATAACAGGAGGAAACACTAGAGCTGTCAGATCTGCTCTAATAACCCATGTTCAAACTGACACACGCAGAAAAATCTCTGGTCGGAAACCGGACAATGACAGTTACATCAACGCTGGATTGTCATCAAACACATAATTACAATATTTTGATTTCTTTTTGACAGATTTCAAATACTACTGCTGAGGACCATTTTGAAAATATGACTTCTCACCAGCTGCTTGGCATATCGCATCAGCTAATTTCTTATCAAGTCCGAACTCAGTGTTGACCTGCAAGTGGAAGATTTCCAAACTCTTACAGTCAAACCTTAAGTAACATGAAAATAATAATCGCTCACAATAGCGGCTGCCTTCTTAAGGATTCCGAACGCATGTACTACGGGTATTGGCATACGCTCTTCGGGTCCTCCAATTTTGAAATTCATTTGAGATCTAGAGAAAGACATACGAGACATTTAATCAATTCATTCTGGTCAACACCTGATCTAATGTATTGAAATGAATAGTAACTTTTTAGAATGGATGATGTGTTTGCTGGCAAACAAGCAACCAGTTAAATACTAAACGAGGAACTAACCTGGCAGTTTGCGCTCCATAGTACTTATCAGCTGGTACTTCCAATTCACCGAATGTATCGCGTTCCTTTCGTACCTGGAGAATGGAATGAAACCAAATGTCGTAAACTAAACTAATTAGTTAAGAAACAGCTGTCTACAGTCTACAGCTGTTACTAAATGTTCGTATTTTCAACAAACAGAACACTGAATGTATTTGAGGATTTGAATCCCCCCATCTTCACAAATCACGAAGAACAGTCCAAGTCCGTATAGAATCCCTATCTCACAATGTTAACTTTTTATTTATTCACTGTCTACGATTATTTCACAGGTAGCGTATGGTATAAAATACCATGATTAGATAATTGCAAACCGTGGACCACAAACCAGATCGGACGACGCATCATAGTCCCTAACTCATTAATAATTTCTCAGCGGTCCGACCGAATTTTCCTTACCTGGAGTATCGAAAATCCTACAAGGGCTTTTGAAACCTGCTCAACTGAAAATTGTGAGCAGCTTTTAAAACAGGCACAGTCACGAAGGCGTTAAGTTGTACCCAGTTGTGCGTGCTTCCATGAATGAACACAAATTCAATGACCATCTCAATACCGTATCACCGCCCTGGATCCATTTCGCTATTAGTACTAACATCTATTTAGTCATGAATACATGTACATTCCATTCAATCAGCACGATGTGAGATGAAACTTAACACGTAAGCTGCAGTAGATTTCTCGACCGCCTAATATGGTTATTTAGTATTTCTTGAGGTGTTATTCCAATATTAAAAACTGAAAAACAAATTCGATTTTCTCACTCAAACGCGACAATCACTAGCACCAATGGTATGTTCGGAGACACCATCGCACACTACTGAAAGGGATCCCGCTTCCCTAAATGGCTTCGCTACTCGATGCAGCTTCGACACTTGAGGACTGTATAAAATCAAAACTTCATAGTAATAGAAGGAAGGGCAAGGGTTCTTTACTGTTGGCCAATTCATTGTGAACTTAGATAATCGTGTAAGAAACACGCGACTAATTTTGGCATCTGTCTGCGGAGACACTCAATTTTTCGCCTTCCTCGCTGTGCATTTAAAGGTTCATCCGAAAAAGAAACTGAAAGGAAACTAGCTCCTATTTTTCGACGTTCCAGTTAACCTATTCAAAAATCGCTACATCACCAAGTGATACTGAAAGTCAAGTAAAAAAAAGTACTAGTTCATTACCTCTCCTCTCACCTCTTATGCAATAAGCGTGCTTGTGAGAAACATGTTTCGAACGGCTATAAGTTTGCACAGGAAGAGAGCAGTGGGAATCTCTGCAATTCGCGCGGAAAATGGCAACGAAATGGTAGTCCTCCAGATGGGTTTAAAGGCAGGACTACGCCCCCAAAAGAGATTCTTGGCTATGATAAGGTCGCGTTTATTCTGCTCTTTATCTCAAAAGAAATAAGCGCAGCTATGAAATAATGCTTAAAAAGAGCCAACTTAAAGAAATCGGTAGCAGCGACCGAATTACCAGCGAACGCTCCGACAAGCCAGCTAGTTCGTAACCGTGTGTACGACCGTCTAAGCATATCAAAATTGCATAACTTGTCCTAATGGTAGAGAACGCGATTGCGTCAGTTCTGGTACAGCGTACCTGACCCCTGTGGAGACGAATATATTGGCGAAGGAGGTACAGCACTTTGTGTCCGTATGAACACCTAGACGGTAAGCGTAAAGTTAAGCAAAATAAGCCACTAGGAGAGCATAGGACACAAAGACATAACGAAGAAGCTTTTGATGTTAAGTGACCATCCTCGCAGAGTAATCTAAAATTTCGGCGCGTGAAACGCTCGAAAAATTCTGGATGAATCAAAGGACTCAAAAATGAAGCGCAGGGAAGAATGCTTTATTATCACGCTGAGTTTCAAATAATATCTCGGACTGATATTTTAACGTGAGAGTGCCCGTTACCCATCCATGTGCGCTCTGTACGGTTGGTCTCCACGTGGAATACTCAGTGGACGACGTAAAGAAAGTGGTGAGTGTGAGAAGTCTTTTTGTGCCCGGTGCGATTGAAAATGCAAAAATCCGAAAAAAATTATCCGACTCTTCTGTTGGCGTTATGAAGGTGTTCGGTTGACTAGATGGAAGTTAACCACACCTTCCCAGGCTCTGAAGGGAGCAAAATCCGCAGAAACGTTAGCTGTTGTGGATACATAGTAGAGATGTTCATGAGGATGAAGTTCTTTCGTTTACAACTTTACTTTGACCTTGTCGGGTAAAAACAGTGTGTTGGATAGGCTATCGATTAAAAAGAGACAAGACAGTAAAATAAAGTCGGAAGCGATTCCCATTGGAATCAAAGGAAAAGGGGGATTCTATACACGCAGATATGCATTGGTATCAATGCAGCCGTCACTTGATTGCTCAAACCTCAGGAACAAGTTATCTTCGGCCATACACTAATTTAAATCGCAGCATCGCAAACCAGCTAAACGTTGAAAACTAAGTCAATCACCAAGAGATATGAGTATCCTACAGGTATACTACAAATAGTAGCATTCCGTCTCCACTGTTCACACGCTCTTCACTCTCTAAACACCCTAAGCAAACTTAAGACCAAGAAGCTCTAGAGATTTAGAACATGAACCAACCTTAGCCATCGCTATTGAGGACCGACAGAAGTTGCGTGATGCGATGAAGTTCACGGTGCTGACGATCGAACTGCGTCCGCAGACGTGACGAGCTGCCAGCATCTGAACGGCAATGGGCATGGCCTTTCGCAGCGGCAAACAACTAGGCGCAGAGAGCACGATAACGACAGTGGGTTAGAGACACAGAGCGACGGCACACGACCAATCCTACTGGTTTTTGCGAAAAAGCAAAAAAGTGATAAAGAAACGGAGAGAGGAGTAGGAAGAGAGCAGAGGGGAAGGTGTGGAATGGTTAGAGATGAGCGATATGTGAGAAGTACATAGACGCGAACACGAATGAGTCGAGTTCTGAAAACTATCGTCACAACTTGACTCTGAACGAGCTACCTTTGAAGAGAGCATTAATTACGCTAATAGTGTCTATCTTCTACTTCACACGAAGGGTAGGATACAAGCAATTTGTATAAGTGATAAAGGATAAAGCCCTCGGTGTTGATCAATCCCTGAGAGATGCGGCATGCATTCGACTTCATTAAGCATCGTTGGAAGTGATTGGATGCATATCTGGCCTATACAGTGACTCGCAGTGGCCTACCGATACATCGAGTGAGTATTGCTATCCTCCCAGACAAATCTGGCACCAATTCGCCGACCATGGAGGGATGGAGGCTCTGGTGGGGCCTGGAGCGCAGGGGTCGACCCCATGTATATTGCAGGGCGCCTCCGATCACTGCGCCACACGCTCCAGCAATTTGCATAGTGCGATAAAATAAGTATTCCCCGTTAGCCAATTCCTGACGGATGCGCCATGCACTCAACTTTGCACCGCACCAAAGAGTAGATTAAATGCATATTTGGTTTGCAGAGTGTCAGTGTATCAAGTCAGTCCTGCTATTGCTTGGGGTGCACCATAGAACCACAGACCACGCCCGCAATGTAAAGCATCTACATCCACTGCGCCATGTGCTCCTTTCAATCTTTATACAAAATACTTTTGCAAGTGACATCGACTTGGTTTCCATCAACGTTTGCGATAATCCACAAACAGTCAAGGACACTATAGGTAGCAATAGGCTGTTCATTATGATTGTGTTAGGTCCATTCTTTCAGTTACAAGCTATAAAGTATGAAAGATTCGCGGAAGGAACTCACCTACTGTATATGAGCCAAACTCAGGACCTAACTATATAACGTGGATCCGTTACTCGACTCAGTTCGAAACGTTTACTCATTGAAAGACACCAACACTCTTATAATGAACTTACGCCTTTGACATCCATGAAGAAACCTCAAAAAAAACTGACAAATTGGACCCACGTAGACCTTGGGACAAGCTTTCACGAACGTTCTCGCGGCTTTGCAATTTTGTCAAAACAACGAAGAACTGCAAACGAGAGGAAATCTTGAGCAACAACACATACAACCATTCAACGAATACCAAAAGATCTCACTAACAATCACATTACAAGTATCAGACTAATAAAACACTAAGCATACAAAACCTCTGTGCACTTCATTCTAAAATTAATAAAAGCCTTCTAGGCTCTGAACAGGCAGGTATTGTCGAAACGTCAGCTTTAACGGAATAAGGAATAAAGCAACAGCTCGTGTTTACTCAACAAGATTATCGAGAAATAAAAACAGTGCTACATTTGGAATCGATTTAGACAAAGCTCTAACGTGGAGTCAGTTCTAAAACTCAATAACACTCGTAATTAACATGTGCGTCAAAACATGTGTAAGTCAACCGCGCCTCAGGTTAACTTTTGGCGCGAGGCGACTCCATCTCATAGATATATTGAAGGATTTACCATAAGAACAATATAAAAAATCATTACAACAATGGTTACCTAGTGCACAGAAAAACATCGTGTACATCAAGACGAAATACAGAATAAGAAGAACCACGCACGAACCTCGAAGTATCATTAATACACCGACCACCAATGCGCGGAACAATCTTTAAGCCTGAGAACACATGTCCAATACAATTAGCATGCCTTCCTTTCGCGATCTTACAAGTTCTCCCATAATTTTTCTACAGAAATACATTTTCGAAGTCCAATAAATTTTCATATCTTGCTTGATTTCAAACTACCAAGGTCTACATCAAAGGAAAAAAGAATGTGGCATGAAACCGAGTACACTATGAATGACAAACGAAAAATAGATATCTAATTGAACGACGACGGAAAGAAGAAAACGCATTTTGTCCCTAATGTGTTAATGATTCTATACACGAGTAGTACAACCTTACTGAACTATAATACATACAAGATCATATGCTTCACTCAGATTTGAAATTATGCATAACTTTGCACTCTAACAGAGGTTATAGTGAAAACGTTAATCTGAAAATAAACATAGAGTTCGAAAAGTATACTGGCTTAGATCTAATAAGTACCTAAAGAAGCAAGGTTAAACAAAAGAAGGAGACAGTGACCATATGTTACCGAGGTTGGCACATCTCCATGTTTCCTATAAGCTTCTCAAACTGTGTCATGGCCAAATCGAGTTGCTGCAACACTTCCTCTAAATATGGCAAATGACACTCTGCTATTGTTATCGTCATGGAAAGTCCCTGCAGTGCTGATTGCTTTGGGGTCATATGATATGAGGCGCAGACCTAAAAGCTAACGAAAATGGCTGTGGCACAAAGAAGACGCTAGATAAGCAGTGAATGGCAGGGTAACAATAGAGAATGTTTAAAAAAATCTTACAAGTCTGCAGCTAGATATGTAAAAAGAAAGGAGTTGATCTTGTGGTAGGGCAGGATTAAACCGACGTGTAGGCGGAAATTGACTCAATTCCAGCAACGATCTGTTTAAAGAACGGAAATACCTTGTTTAACACTTAAATCATAATGTAACTTAGCAGAAGAGGAGTCCTAAGGAAAAGAGGACAAAGAGCAATTTATGTGCTTGCTCGTTCCATAATGGACAAGGATTTCTAAATCAAACATGGCCCTAACATATCTTTTAAATTGCCCACTCATCACACAACTCATATTATGAGTGTGAAACCCACTAAATGTATTTATACCATATTCTTTACTATCCCAAGCAGTAGAGATTTCTATCCTAACACTTTAATGGAAAGAGTAGTCCTATGGAAAAACTCAAAACAAAAGGCGGTTAACTGCAAATGGTGAGACAAAAATTTAGAAAAACAAAGCTTCCTACTTCCTTCTTGGCAAGACAATGGCATTTCGAGCAGCAGAGATTTCTGTTCTAGCGGCTTTCGCTGCAGACAACACCAGTTCACCAGATTCCAGGGTGAATTGCTCAGATTGAGAGAGCTCGAATAATCGTCGATCCGCTTCGAATAACAATTTCGACGCCCGGGTTATATGATTTCCTAAGTCCTACAACAAAACGATTCAGAAAACAACGATCGTGAAGTTATGGCAAACACTACCAATTAGAATCAACCGTTTTATTTACTGCCTACTCTTTTTAATGGCAGGGTATACTACCAATTAGTTATAGTAACAAATGCACTTGCGCTTCTGTGGGTCCGTTTGCTCGCAAATGTCTCACCATTATTAAAAGTTATAAAAACTTTAGATTTAAGTCATAAAGATTATCCAACATTACAAAAATGCACAAGCGCAGCAATTAGTTCCATGAAGTAAACGAATCCAATGGTTAAACTACATCCACGGCTAATCAAGACCGACATCCTCCGTGGACATCAAATTGGTATCATATTTGCCTGGGAAAGATCCCTCACATCAAAAAATGCTGGCAGCTACCTATTGTGAAAATCTCGATCCGCCCTAGCAGCTCTAACCTGGTATCAGCGTAAAAGACGTTCAGACGTTCAACCAGCAAACAACGATGTTGATGAGTAACACAACATCCTGAATTGTCAGCCAAACCCACTTAGAAACCTTCGTGGATAATGGATTCAAGGAACTGAATGAAAAAAATAGCTTGATCCGTAAACTGCGTGAAGATGGGTCACTCTCGCCGTTGATCAATCCGTGAAGGATGCGCCATGGAATCGACTTCATCAAGCATCGTTAGAGGTAATCGACTGCATATCTGGTCTTTAAAATTACTCGCGGTGGCCTTCTGATGTATCGAGCCGGTGGTGCTATCTTCCTAGACAAGTATGGTACCAATTTGCCAACCCGGAGAGATGGAAGACTTGCTGAGCCTTGAGGTACGAGGATCAACCTCATGTGTATTCTAGGGCGTCTCCGACCACTGAGCTGCACGCGCCCTTAAGATGGGTCATAGAGAAAAGAAGTTGTGTAGACATGTTTGCAAACCTTTCAAGTGTTCCTTCACTACATTCTTAAATATTTTATAAGCGCTAAAGTTTTATGAAGTAGTAGAAAGAGTACTTTTTTGGACAGCGTTATCGAAATCTTTTCGGATGAATGTCATACAGTTATATTTGTCATACATATCCACCTCTCTCAAGCAGTGTTAGCAAAAGTCGTCAAAAAACAAAGTGAAATTGAATTAATAAAGACTGGAGTGGGAAATGCTTCGTATGATGTTGATCCTATAAGCCATATCGAACAGCAGCCTTTTCCCAAAAAAGCCTTTCGCCTTTTTTTCAAGCAATTTAGATAATAACAAAACAGATACCTGCAGCTGTTGCAATTTCCACTGGACGTCTGGCTGTGCGATGGCCCTAAACATACCTCCAGAGGCTTTCGGGTGTCGTATCGCAACCTCCGCTTGAATGACATTGTCACCAAGGAGCGTCACGTTGGCCTGCACGAATTCTCAATAAGGCTTTATAAAAGAGTCAACTAATATGTACCTCCACTCAACAAAAGATTCTATGCCGAATCACTACGTTTAGTGAAGACTTCTACTACCATCTGAGGTAGGCGAAAAAAGTTCAAAAGGTAGCAAAACCTTTAGTGCATCTCCACCATGCTTCCCAGTTAGTAGATACCTCTCGGCTTGCGGTTGTGAGACCGAGACTCCTAACCGCGGGTCACACTTATAACCCAAGTGCAAGCGGCCAATACACTCGCGAAGGGACCACAACACCTGAAAGAAAATAAAGAAATTGAATTAAAGTTAGAGCCGGCTGCATTTCAAGCTAATGTTCTGAGCCTAGAGTGGAACCGTAAACGAAAAACCTACACTACTAAAGGTTTCACGCGCACGGGATGATATGATCCAAATGAACTCTTTCTTAAGATTCGCTTTGCACATAGCTTCTTCCTCTGAAGAAAAAACGTCTTACGTCCACATATAGCAAAGGTAAGAAACAAAACAAAAAATTGTCAAACCGACCGGCAATTAATGTCGGTAGTAAAATAATCAATGTTTTAAATTGTTGAGCTTACACGAGGTTGCTAAAGATGTTTACTCGGCTAACGTTTCAACGTCTTCGTCTTCATCAGAGCTGCGTTGATCCGCGTCTGTGGTCCTCAGCTAGTCTTCTTCGGGTCTTCTTCTTCATCGAGAAGACGAACGACTGTGGACATCCAGCCGGATCATCAGCTCTGACGAAGACGACGTCGAAACGTTAACCAAATAAAAGCTGAAGTCACAATGCTAAAATTTTATTTGCTGCCTGCTATAATTTTCCACGGTAGGGTATTTTGTGTGATACAAACACAATGATGCTGAGACACTCGTAAAACTCCGGACCGCAGATGTCTGCGGTGGGGAACGAATGTGCTATTACCCTTTCCAGGGACTAACGCGTTCACCACCACACCATGCGGGCTTTTCGTTTCGCCTGTCTCTCAGCTAGTTCTATCGATTACCCTTTCCGGGGGCAAACGCGAATAAAAGTTGTTTAGCAACCTCGTGTAAGCCCAACAATTTAAAGCAAAATAAACAGTTAGCCAACAAACAAGCAGCTCACTAGACTGATTATCCGATAAATCCAACTTAACGTGACAGCACCTATCATTTTGAGGGAAAGAACAAATAATTTCTAGCAATAATGTCAGTACGTACCTTCAGGATGCATGTAGGAGTTTGGGAGCATGGCGACCGGCGTTGACATTCAACCTACAAGATCAAAGTATTCCAAAGCGTATTCGAATTTCGTGCCTTTAGCCCTAACTAGTTTACCTGTACAAAGTAGTAGTGTGTAGGGCTGGGATTAGCAGGACTAACTTCGGCTTAGTGATGTACTGATGGACATGTCGTCGGTCCTGCGAGCCGTCGCCGCTGCAGAGCCACCACTCAACACCACGCCTAGGACAACTGCTCCCGATTCCGCGTATCAAGGCAAGGTCAATATTTATTCATTATTATTTACATAATCTTTCGTCACATCTACTGTGCGAATCCCAGCATTTGTTGGATTCGGCTAGAACTTCCACTTTATGGCCGTGGAACGTTTTTCACTTTGAGTTGTTGAGCGGTTTAGAATGGCCCTGCAAAGAACTGCACTACGAATTTGATTCTCGGAGAGCTTACACCGATCGACTGGGTCGTCATCAGAATGCGGGGGTTACTTTCAAACATTTAAAGTACTAGGACGCGTTCTAATAAGGGTCGTTCTTTGTTTCATCGTTCATTCGTTTTCAATTTCCTCTAGTGAAGAGCGTTTTTTAAACCTGGATTTTCGGTTTTCTGGATATTTGTTTTCCTGGATTTTCGGTTTCCTGGGTTTTCGTTTTCCTAGATTTTCGCTTTCCTGGATTTTCGGTTTGCTGGGTTTTTGTTTTCCTGGGTTTTCGTTTTCCTGGATTTTCGTTTTCCTTCTGGATATATTACCATTTCGGACAGTTTTATTAAAACCTGAAGTTGTGCGAGTTATCCAGAACTTTTAGGTCTTATTTTGATTGCATATCATTCTTCTACGTTGTTGTAGACAATCGTAAGGTAATGTATAACGTTTTCTCTACTGCTTAGAGCTTTTTCATGGCAGAATATATAATAATCTTATGATTCTTTGAGACTATTGAGAGGCGTCAGACTTGGTAGTTCTTGTTTGCTCAGCACGGAACTATGAAGCTATAGCTAGTCGAACTCCATCTTCTCAAATGCGTCGCATAGCTTGAAAAATGGGATATGTCGAGTTCTGTTCGCCGATGATAGTTGTCTGAAAACCGCTTCGATGCTATGAAACTGATCTTCTTAGTGTTCCAGAATTCACGATGAAATTCACGTTGATAGTTCTGTCGGCGTGCTTGGCTTTCAACCGATACTCTTTCTCGACTCCAGTCGAGAACGAAGATAACGAATTCGCCGAGTTTGAGGTTGGTTGTAGCCCTCGGTAACGCACTTACTGCTTTTTCTTTCTCTTTTTGTTTTATCAATCCGGTTTGACAAACTGTTGACAAGATGAATCCCACAAGAAAAACAAACATTAAGGATGACGACGTTGACGAACCTGAGTTACAATCTTCTACTGATGCTGGAGAAAAGAAGGATGTTGAACGTAGTGCTCATAATCAGGTGGGCAGAATGTTTGACACTGAAGCTAAATGCCTTACTCAGATACTGTTTCATTAATCCTTTATTTGCCACCTACTGTAATTTTTCGCGGCCGGATAAGATGTGAGCTACAACTACAACGATGCTGTGATCTTCGCAAAACTTGGACCTCGGGCCAAAATGAACCACGATGACCTTTTTCGGGCACTCATGCGTTGCGCACTGCACCACTGAGGACCTTGCTTGCCAAGTTCTTGCTTTGCCAAGGTCCAAGTTTTGCGAATATCTCAGCATCATTCAGATTGCTTATTTTAAGTGTTGTCTTGTAGTTTACGGAGCGATCTAGTTCAGTGTATTTTTTTCCGCTGGGATGTATTTGTTACAGTGCGTACATGACCATTGTCTTCAATCAAAATAGAACGAGATCTTCCGTTTCCAGAAGGGTGATGATTTCGATTACGACTACGGTGTCGTCGAGGATGAAGAGGAGTTAAAGGAAGAGGAAAATGAACACAAACCGGTCCAATCATTGAAATTTGCAGACGTTAGTCTTCTTGTCTTTTTTTTCACTTTCTTAAAAAATTTCTAGTGGCTCATAATATTTTTGTTGTGTTTGTATCCATATTTTAACTTATACGTCAGAAGTAGTGGGTTGAATCCACAGTTTTTAAGCACAGTGTCGTTACTTTTTATTTACTGCTTACTCTTTTTCAATGGCAGGGCATTATATGAAATACAACCACAACGATGATGAGGTACTTGCAAAACTTCAAACCGCTGGTGTTTGTGGTGGGGAACGAACACGCTATTAGCCTTTCCAGAGGCTAACGCGTTCATTACCACACCACGTAGGTCCTTCGCTTCGCCTGTCTCTTAACCGTGTTATTGACCTATAGGCACTGTTAGCAATCAACCATCAACAGGATTGATTTGGAGAGCTCCCGGAAAGAGTAATGGCATGTTCGGTCCCCACCGCGGACACCAGTGTTGCGAAGTTTTGCAAAGATCTCAGCATAATTATGGTTATGTTTATTAAGTACATTATAAGCGCAAATTAGATGAATAATATGTATGCACCCTGGTTCGGGTGTTGTATTAGGGTTCAGTGAAAGTTACGAAGTAACAGTATTGTAGCGTTTGTTTATATTCTCCATTGTAAAGAAAGGATGTTTTAGGTTCCAGCTCACTTTCGCTCTAACTGGGCTTCGTATCAAGTGGAAGCTCTGATACTTGCAGTGATAGCAGTGTACCTACTGAACTATGTCATTGGTCGAAACACTAATCAATCGATAGCTTTAGAGTGGTTCGATAACGTCAGAGAACTTCTTGAACAGCAGTTTGCTTTGGTTAGTGCGTATTGAAACATTTTATTAATCACCTCAAAGGAGAGAGTTATACATTTCTTTGGTACCGTTATACTATTATAGTACCCTTTATATTTTGCGCAGTGGTCGGAGGCGCTCATTCAATCATTTCCAGCAGTGCTTAATGAAGTTGAATGCGTGGCGTATCTCTAAAGGGTTGAGCAACGCCAAGAGCTTTATGCTTTATTTGTTTGCACTATTGTAGGTTGGAGATGACGGAGTAAATGCATGCCCTGAAAGTGGTGCTGCTGTGCAGAGAGAAACCGACTGTTCGTATACTGTTTGGTGTTCAGGAAGGGTTGGAGTAAATGGGATGCTCATTCAGGTGCTTTTTTTGTTCTCGTGTTTTATTTGTCTTTCCAACACTCTCTTCTGGTCACAGTTCGTACGTACATGTAGAATGACAAAATTTCTCTCGTCTTCGTTCACAAAACGATGTAGAAGCTGAAGTCGAAGCTGTACGCTGCGATATTTCTTGCCTCTCTTTGATATTTTCTTTTCAATGCAGGATCTTTTTGCTCTTTATTATCTCTTCAAGAACCATTCATCTATCGTTAGAAAAATGTAAGTCTTCTCAGTAGTTTGACTCTTTAACGTTCTTTCAGATAAGAACAATGAAGCGGCAGGACTTGTTGAGTAGGATTATGGGTTTGTTCTATCCGCAAAAGGACAGAATCACATTTAAGGTGTTTAGATGCTTTTTACTCTACCGTTTTTATGCCAAAAATTTCCAATATCGTTGTCGGCAACGTTTCTTGCAGTTAGAATTGGATCAAGGCGAGCTGGATTCGTTTGTGATGGCGTTTGGCCAAAAGAAAGCTGTTGTGAAACAATACAAAGAGATGCTCGATCTTAGCACTTTTACCACTGAGAAGAAAAACACTTCTCAGTTCGGTTTGCCGTCAAGGTTAGATTTCCGATAGCTATGGCTTTCAGTTTTTGCTAAAGTGTTGGTTTAGCTTCGTGCTCTACGCAGAGCAGTCCGAAGCTACGTATGCAATCTTTGAACCTGGGGTTGCTGCTATCCTTCGTAAATATGAAAAGGCGATTGAGCATGTCCACATATCGGACCAATACAGTGGTCCTAAACCACCCGAGTACGTTTTCTTTCTTTGAAAGATGGTTGCTGTTCTATGTATATTGGCTGTCAATGTAATCAGCTGTTAATCCATTAGAGGTGAGACCTACACTCGATTACCAGATGTTGTTCGATTGGTGCAGTTCAGCTTCAATCTTTACGAATGCCGAAACAAGGAATCGCAGGCTGAACTTCTCCAGCTAATATTTTACATAGTTGACAAGGTTTGGATATGCTTCTTTTCAGTTGTAACCTATTGAGCATATGAGAGAAACGCAGAACAAGGGCCTCTGTGGTGCAGTGTGTAATCATCGAGCCAACGGAAAAGGTAATCATGGTTCGATCTGGCCCAGGGTCCAGGTTTTGCGAATATCTCAGCATCGTTGTGGTTATATTGAACATATTGTTTCTTGTTTCTTTTTAAGGTGCGAAAATTCCGCATGAGTAAAGAGGCGAAATTAAAGGCCGATAAAAGGCGACGAGAAGTCGAAGAAGCGTTCATTAAAACTACTCATCAGTTACGGCAAGAAGCAGCACAGGTTATTTCCAAACTTTTCTTTAAGGATAATCTCTCTGATTTTTTAAATCACATTTATTATAGTTTTTATTGCTTTTTCTTCGAGTAAAGTGTTAAGTCACATTTCCTGTGTTATCCCATTGTATCCAATTTTTTTCTTGTTCGTAGTAGTTACAATGGACAAATTGGCTCATTCAGGCACGCCGTGAGGAAAAAACTCGAGAGCGAAAGCAGCGACTTCTCGAAGAAGAGGATCCGGAGAAGCAAAGACGTCTTGAGGTAGTATTCGCCCCTACATCTATCCTTTTTGTATTGTCTTTCAATTTCCCTCCCTAGGACATATTTGCGTACGCACCAGTTAATTTCTCCATTGGAGCTGAATGACCTTATTCATTTCTTCGGTTTTGTTTAACCTACACTGTGTCAAAAGTTTATTTCGTGGTCATTGACTGTTACTGCTTAGCAACGGGGATGTCTCTGATGTATTTGAACACTAAGTCAGGCACTTAGAAACACTTCTTCTCTGTGGTAAGTTCATTCGATACAGAGGGGACATTTTCAGAATGGCACTCGGTGTTCTCAGAGTGTGCTTTCATAAATGTGCTTTAACATAGTTTGGCTTTAGATGCGTTTATCACCGTCTTATTACCACGACCTTTGCTGTTGTCTTAAACAGCATGCGCAAAAGCGTTTTTTTTTTTACATCCCTAAGCTCAGTAATCCAAGTAACTGTTTTTTTTACGATCCAAATACCACATAGAGTCATCACTGTTTACACGTAAGATGAAGTTTCACGAGACACGGTATGATGAAGGCAACGATCAAGTATGTGTTGCAGGGGCCCGTAGTCACTTCGTTGCGCGCTTCTATGCTTTACTAATTGAAATAGAAGCAGTTAACATTTTCATATCGTAGCCAACAAGGTGCAGCTTTTAAAAGTCTGCGGAAATAAGGTTTTCTTTGCATAGAGGCCATAAAACGTACATTTTTCGGCCTTTCTTGGTAAGAGATCCTATCTCGCATAGCGAATCGATTGAGCAAATGGAATTTTGTGTTGCAGAATGCAGCGACGTTCCACGATGTGTCGCGGATATCTTCAACTTTCGCGTTTACGTTAAGAAACTCGAAAGTCTTAATTTCGTCTTCAATTTTTTTAGAGTTATGGCTTCATCCGAAGCTCCTGAACCAAATTAACACTTTGAAGAAGATAATTGTACGCGTTAAAGTAAAGCCTCTTTTTTAAGTTTATGAAGTTCTCAACTGCTCATTTCCATCATTTATTGGAGAAGTGGGAGCCGTCGGAAATCAGTCAATCAACAAACATATTGTTTTTCCTTTTTATTTTCTTTTTTATTCAACTATGCCAGTATGTCGGATTTGCTTCCTACTGATGTAGAACATCTTTGATATGAAGCCGTTTGAAAATGGTTTTATTGATTCATGGGGGTTTAGGTATGGCTTTAAAAACACGAAAGAAAGCCGACACAGAGAGCTGGAAGGCTCCTGTTCTCATGATTCAGTTCGCAGTTGGTTAAGCTTTTTTATTTTCAAACGGTTGTGATTTTCAGAAGCTCGAAATAAAACGTGAAGCGAAAGCTAAGCAACCGAAAATGAAGCAGCTGAAGGTGAAGATGTAAACAAAGTGCTATTATTATTTTGCCATACTATCTGTGTTACAGAGGTTTATGAGTCGTTGTTGCACTGAATGTTGTTGTCCAGATGTTGATCTGTCAAATTGTGATGCAGGTTGTTCTAGGTGTATCTTCTAGGTTATTACTTTCAACTATGAAAGATGTTTCTTGTTGTAATCAGTTGTAGAAATCCATTGTGAAAAGTAATGATTGTAGTTTTTGCCCGTGAATCAGCACTTGTGATCATCCGTTGTTAAATTGGCCTTCAATCTTTCCACCAACTTCTTGTCTCCATCGTTTTGACTTTAGTTGTTTAGTTGTTTTGTTACAGTAAGTCATAGTTTACCGGTGATCTAATGAAAAGGACTGCTTGTTGTGAATATCATAATAATCCTTTCGAACTACCTTATACATGAACTTATCGTTAAGTGGTTCAATGACTGTGTTGATGAACAGCGTGGTGGGCTGCTGATACTGTTATGAACACCGTGAATTGCTATTAAATCTTGTTGAAGAAGTGGAAAGTTGACATCAGTTGATCTCTCTGCAGAGCCAGCAAGACTGATATCTGTGACAATCATAAACATTTTCGACGATGCTTCTTGTCTCCAGCACGACTGGCCTTCTGGCTCTTGGCGGCTTTCTTCGCTGTTTTGGCTGATGGCTTCGGTGGCATGACGAGTCAGGTGGGATTCAAGAAGAAGAAGCATCGTCGGAAATTCCGCTGACTACGTAATGAACACTGGACTCGTCATGTCACCCAAGCCATCAGCCAAAGAATCATAAATATTGCTAGGTTTCCTTGAGGTATGTTGTCTACACTACTAAGTTGATTGAGAAGACTGATTGTCCCATTTTGTAGATTCATTATTCTATAACTGAAAAACTTGGGAAAAGAGGACGTTTTTTTTTCTGAAGGACAAGGTGACACTAAGCGGGATAACCTTTTTCTCTATAACCAGGCATTTGGTGGTCTTGCAAGGTCCTACCTATCCCATTCAACGAGCAAGACACAATAGCTGAGTTAGTTGACCACAATGGCCTGCGTTGCCATCTCCACATCTTGCTGCTCACCGCTCACTGATTACTATTGCATTTCCAGGTAAATGTTGCCGGAAAAAAACCACCGTCGCTATAATCCACTGCTCGACGAGTGGGTGATAGTGGCTAGTAATCGAGTTTCTCGTCCTTGGCAAGGGAACAGGATTGACGCGCCCTCATTCATGCCGACGAATGAAACGAATTCTCTAGCGCCTGGTGGAAAACGACGCAATAATGTGGTCAGAGTAGTTTTTTTCTTTTTTGGCCATATGCTTCTGTCTAAGTGGGCGATTGTTTAGTTGGTGGGATATACGATCCCCTTTTCCCACAAGGGGAATAGTAAATGAGATAGTAGTAATTTCAAATGGAAATAATTGGGAAATGTGAAGGGACTTCTCATTTACCAATCTCCGTTCCTGGAGATGTTCTTGAGTGTCGAAGTGCTGATGTACAGTGGGGTTTCCTTCTCACCAGAGTCACCCCTGCTTAAATAGGGTTCAACAGTATTTATATCCTGGAGCCTATTTAGGAATAAACATATAAAATTGCGGGTAATATTGATGAATGTATTTTATTCACTCTAATGAAGTTTTTTAAAGACCACTCCATGGTACGAATCGACTTATGTATTTGACAATGACTTTCCAACCTTCACGGATAACCTGGACGAAGAGGATTCCCCTGTAGAATGTAAGAACATGGTTTATTAGGATATTACATTAGCATCAAAACCAGTGAAAGAAAACCCGAGTTTTCTTCCTTCGAATATGGGGAGATAAATTTTAGTTCCTAAATTATTGACTCCATTTGGATTTAATTTCGTCTGCATAGCTGCTTTCTACCCAATTGTTTACCGTCTTATTGTTGGTTGGATATGTTCTTCGGAGTCAAACTGCTTTTAGTACCCTACACAATCGACTTTACATTCTAGAATACCAATCAGTGAGACTACCAGTGTGAGGCGATTGAATCTTGTGTTTTACGGAAATTATTGAAATTGGATCAAAATAACGTGCCAATGACACCTCATAGGGACTGCTTTCCACATAATTACAACAGCAGTTTTCTCAAGCATCATTCTTCACACTCGTCTTTGAATCATAGATCCCATAAAATTTTAGCTTATCGCCCTACGGGAGGTCAAAAACAAAGCGAAAGGAGACTATGTGTTAGTATGCTTTCTCGTGAATCCGTTGACGATGTGACACATCCGCGAGTCTTCATACAAACCGAAGAAGCAATAAACATGTATGGCCTCTCGACTCAGCAGCTCATGGTTCTCCTAAAAGAGTGCCTAAATTGCGCAATCATTAGATGGTCCAGGAAGTGGATGTCGGAGACGCGTTACTCACAAGAGCCCTTTTCGTGTGTGAGTGGTGGGAGGAGAATTGCCACTATGTTCTTACTATCTGTATTTTGATACCATTTGGTGATGTAGCCGTATTCGGAAAGATTAGTTTGAAAGTTCAGAAATGTAAGCCAGTTTTCTCCTCGGTTTCTGTTGGGTGAATATTATGTGCTCTGACTGTTCGTTCAATAACTCGAAATATTTGTCTATTTCCTTTTGTGTGGAGCTGATAACAAATCGCCTATATATCTACAGAAGAGTAATGACCGGAGATCAATTACTGGTGCTTCCTCTTTGGACATAAATGTAACGGGAAAGCTTAGTGCCAGCCACTGTCCGACTGTCAACTCTCTCATTTGTGCGAAATACTTCCTGGACCACCTAATGATTGCGCAATTTAGGCACTCTTTTAGGAGAGCCATGAGCTGCTGAGTCGAGAGGCCATACATGTTTATTGTTTCTTCGGTCTTCTCTCTTTAAGATCTTCTTTTATCTCTCGTCTGCATTGTTTTGCAAGTTCGGACGTTAGTTAGGGGTTACCTATGCCTCATGCCATTCCACACTCGCGCACCAGGTCGCATGTTTGTGCAGACAGACGTCCATTGGTGGCTTTCGAACTGTCAGCTTTCATAGCGCTAGCGTGAAGATATTCAATGAGCCGATCGTATTCTGCCGTTTTTCCTTCGTGATTAACCCCCTATTCGCCACTTAGGAACGCTCCACGTTCATTCGCGACTAACCGACAGATCTCTCTTTGAGGGAAATCCGTGGATGTTTACCAGATTTTTAGATAAGAAGAGTTTCCACGAAATAAACGAGAAGAACTCTAGTAAGTCGTGAGTGGAATGATTACAAGCTATTCACAAGCGTTTGTAGCCCATGTGTGTTTGGAGGTTATGAACATTTATGGATCAACGAAGCTTTAAACTTTGTGAATATCAACAGTCTCGAAGCAGAGCATGATTATGAACGACATTAACAAGTTAAAGAAATCGATAGAAAATATGCTGCAACATTCACTGTTTGTGGAGAGTACCCTACAAACATTAAAGAAAATAAGATAGCTATTTTTCATTGTAGCCTGCATGCAACCATGCTCTGGGCATCTAGGTACGAATTTCAGATTTTGGTGTACAACGTAGGTTTGAAACATGTTGTAGCTGCGTGCATTATAGTGGTGCTAGACGTTGATAATTTCGAGCTGTGAATAAGTAAAACTTTGTCTCTGATTTCACTGATAAGCCAATACGAGGATGTTACTACAAATTTCTTCGACTAATGTTTCGACTTCTTCGCCTTTCTCAGAGCCGATGATACGAGGCGATGTCCATAGCCCTTTGTATCTTCGATACGGGATCTTTATCGTTATACCCAGTGGGATCACCTTCATTGGAGCACCGCTCAGATGAGGCAACCTCACTATGCAGCGCTTTTTTATACAGGCCGGTTGTTGTTGCTAATGATTGTCTATTGATAATAACCGCAGGATGAATTGTCCGTTGAAAAATAATACCGGTGAACCAATAGCTACTCATTTGAGTGATGCTCCACTGAAGAAGGTCCGACTCGCTACGACGACGAAGACACTGCATCGAGGAGATGAGCAACTGAGGATTATCGACTCGGATCATCGGCTATCAAAATTACGAAAACGTCGAAATATTGGCCGAATAAGTGTGTGGTAGCAACGTCGCGTTTGCTTTTCCATAAATAAGGTGCTTTGACCATTCAAATCGAGGTTAAGTGACGGTCGATTTGAAAAAGAAAAACTTTGTTTTATCAAATGGTGAGGTTTGTGGGAATTACAAACGCATTGGTACGTCTTTAATAAGATTTTTATCTATATAGCGCTGGAGTCGGGAGACGAATTGTTCCGTCAGATGGCAGTGAGTGGAATCTGTCGAGTGATCTGCTACCATCCGGACACCAAAAAAAGCATAGCTACTATGACCCTTGACGAGGTTCTGCGTAAATTTGTTTTACTATCGTTTGTCTTTCCTTATGTTGTCAAAATTGATAACGTGGTATTTACATAGAAACAGAGACCGACTTAGACACTTGTGGATGACCCGTCCTTGTCGTTCAGGTATCAGCACTTTTCCCATTAGTTTCGTTCTCTTGTAGCTGTAGTACATGATTGTCGCTAAGCTTGTACGTGACTTCGATTGTAACTTGAAACTGTTACGTTTTCTCTCATTAATATGTTGAAGAAAGTCGAACATGATTTCCTCTGGAAACCTGAGATAGCAGAGATGGGCATTCTCGGGTCATCACCATATGCAATTTCTACCTTTTGTGGATTGAAGAAAATTTCCCGCCTCGCAACTAGGATTCTTCCAGGACGACAATGATTCCATTGATGGCAACGAATCTTGCAATTAGTGGAGTGACCGCATGAAGACGATGTGAGAAACCTCGTCAACTGAGACTGCCCATAGATATATTGAGAGTTTACCAGTACAGTTGGCCAGCATCACTGTTTGGAATTTTGTTTTTCTATTTTATAAGATCATATACATAAATGTCACCAGTCATCAGAATCGTCCAGGAATCATTTACACGTATATTCTAATGTCATGAACACTTCAGGTAGTTCTTGTTGTTAAAACATGGATAGAGCAATTTCGCGAGCTGAAAGGAAACTACCATTGGATTCAGGTGCTTTTTTTTTGCGATTTTTCGCAACTTCCAAATTGAAGCCGTTTACAGACATTTTCAGATATTCGAGAATCGAGGTGCCGCTGTCGGTTGCTCAAATGCTCATCCCCATGGGCAGTTATGGGCTGGGAATTTCCTACCATCTCTGCCGTCTAGAAAGAACAAATGTCAACGTGTATGTTTCCGCATGTTCATCTGAGTCCTTTACATTTCAAGTATTCTCAACCCATTTGGCTGGGGTTTTAACATCTTATAAGTGATACCTAGTAACACATTTGAGCTCATATTAAATGCGTCATTGAGACGAATTTCCGTCATTGAGAAAGGTGGTACGTGAATACAGTAAAGATGATAACTTGAAACAGGTAAACAAACGGTAATAGAATTAGGTAGTCGCTCGGTTCAATGGTTTCATTAAAGTCTTCATTTTCCACGGTTCCAGCCCACGCTTATAACAGAAGTATAAGCAGCTGTGTCGAGAGTTTTCTTGAAATTTTATGCAAGCGTTCTCATAGATTTTCTTCATTCACGTTCATCATTCGTTGTTTTCTTAGTCCATGAATACTGAAGCAGCCAACAGTAAATTCTCCCTTACTGATTTGCACTCAGCTGGACTTCTGTATGGGAATGCCGAACTCCTTTTCAGCTTGCCTTGTATTGGATATGACGATATCTTTGCTGTACATCGCCGTTCGATACTTTGCGGCATTCCCTTTGGTGGTAAACGACTAGGGATTGATTGTACCTAGTGGGAAAATCTGGGGAGAAAATCACATTTTTTAGTTGCTTGTTCGTCTTTGCTCCAGACTGGTATCGCGTGTTGTTTATTGATCTCTCGAGATCATTTCTTGAAATAAACAGAAGTTTTGGAAAGAAATGTCTTTAGTGGTGCTCAGATATGAAAAACGTGCTGAAAGTCTTTTAGCTGGAAATTTTGGACATATTTTGATAATTCTGAGTAAAATGTATTATTTGTTGTAGGCATACTACTCTCGACATGGAAGGCCTCTGTTGATGGACGTTCTGCAAAAGGAAAAAGCGAATGAGAATGAGAGGATAGTTTTGCAAAATGACCACTGGACAGTGTTAGTACCGTATTGGGCTGTGTGGCCGTATGAGACCATAATGCTTCCGAACAGACATGTGATGCGAATCGATGAACTCTTAGAGGTCTGAAATGATTGTTGTATAGAAAAAAGATAAAGCTTTCCTCTTCAATCATTCCTTGAAGGATGCGCCATGCATTCGACTTTGTTAAATATCGTTAGAGGTGATTAGATGCATAGTTTGTCTGTGCGAGGATTTGCTGTGGCCTGAGTGAAGTCTCACTGCTATTCTCCCAGACACGTCTGTTACCAATTTCTCTACTCCGGACGGATGAAGGGCTTTGTGAGCCTGGTTCGCGGGATCGAACCAATAACCACGTGTGTGTTGTTGGTCACCTATAGCCACTGCTCGACGCTTGCACTTTCATACAATATTCTGGTACTATTCGACAACATGGGTACGTCTAGCTCACTGGTAATTGAGGCTTCTTTCAACACACGTGTTTGTTGCCGCGATTCCATGCCGTCGGTTAGCCGAGCCTCCATACCTCCAGGGCATGGTGGCTCCCTAGGTGTTGATTAAAAATATCTCACTAGTTAGCACTGATTAAATAGATGAACATAATGTAGCGTAAGTAATCGGCAAAGTTTATAATTTCACCCAGTTTTAAGTGCTCTTAATATAACCAGGCTGACTCATTTACGACAGCTGTAAGCCCAATAAATTTCAGGAAGAGCAGATTTCGTTGGCAGACATACTTCGGAGGCTCATAGTAAAGTACGACAACATCTTTCAGGTGAATCGTGAAGTTTGCCATTTTGTAGTGTACCTCGTTTCATTGGTAAGCCAACACGAGGTTTTTACCAAATAATTGTTCGGGTAACGTTTCGACGTCTTCGTTTTCCTCAGAGCCGATGATTCGCGTCGATGTCGACAGTCGTTCGTAGTCGCGATGTGGTGTCTTCTCGTTCCTTTGAGAATCTTTCTCAGTGGAGCACCGATCGAATAGTGCAACCTCACCAGGCAGCGTTCTTTTACATGGGACGGTTGTTGTTGACAGTGATCAACGTTGGTCCAACAGATGTTTGATAACGAACTTGTGTCGGCTTATTAGTAGAATTAAGTACATCGAGCATTCAGATCGAGATTAAACGAAAATTGGTTTGCAACAGTATTATTTCGATACATGTGAGCTTATCTAGTACCGGCTGCTGCAAGATGGATCGTTTGATGAAAAACAATTTATTACCGATGGACAATTATTATCAGCAACTGTCCTGTGTAAAATTTGAGCGGTACTCCACTAAGGAATATTCAACTCAATACAACGACAAAACCACCACATGAGAACGCGAACATCTGTGGACCATCGATTCGGATCATCGACTCTGAGGAAGACGAAGACGTTGAAACGAGCTGAATAAATATTTGATAACAACATCGTGTTAGCTTGTCAATGAAATAAAGTACATTGTTCATTCATACTAACGTTAAATGAAGGTCGGTTTACAATAGTACTTTGAAGTGTGTTGTAGTCAATATCTGTTTAATATTCATAACGGTTTAGTACCTCCTAACGGTTTACCGCCTCACCGCGACTGAGCTGTTCCTAGGTGCTGGGCTACGATGTACAGCGGGGGGATTCCTCCCACCGGTAGAGTCTCCCAAGCTGAGTAGGAGTTCGGCGTTTCCATCAGGAAGCCCAGCTAAGAGCAAACTAAAGCCACAGTCCACCACCGTCATGGTATCAAGCTAGTCGCATAGTGGAAAATTTCCTTCTGATCCACAAGAGCTGCGACTGCTTGTGGTGGTCAAGACCTGGGGAGGCTTTGGCCAGGCTGACCTCGAGATTCGAGAGAACCAGTGGCTTAACCAGCAAAGCTCCGAAAAATGGAGATTATGTTGAGGCATGCACAACCAGTGAGGGCGCGTCGTTTGGGTATACAAGTGAGTAAAAGTTTAGTAGGTCATTGTAGATTATGTGAAAAAACAAGCATAGGAGGAACGACATTTACAGTATAAGTTTGAGATTCGAAACTTCCTGTTAACAAAAACGCCATTTCGGCAATGAGTTATGGGTCAAAACAAAATCTAAATTGACTAAGTTAAACTCGCTTAACAGTTTACCACTTCACCGTATCGATGGGATGTCGAACTTTATATCTAGGAATTGAACTAAGAGTAATTGTATGTCGTGGATTGCCGCCGTCCTAGAAGAATCGTAGTCATAGGGTGGAAAACATTCACTTCACATGGTAAGAACTGACGACTAATTGACGAAGAGTTTGACTTCCTACTAAGGACCTGGCACAGAACGTTGAACTATGGTAAAAACGTTTTGGTACACATTTTCCTGCAGAAAAATACATTGTGATTCTTTCCTTTGTGGTAATTTAATTGTTCACCTGCTAATTTATATGTAATTATTTTTTAAATTGGATAATATGGTTGCTTAATTCTTTGTGGGCGAGAGATTTCATTGATAAGATTCTCTGTTCCAGTGTCCGTTTCCGTTCAGCATGGGCTGGTTAGGTGCTCCGACAGGTCCTTCCCTATGCGATGACAACAAGTGCTGGCAGTTGCACGCATCCTTCCATCCACCGCTTCTTCGATCAGGTTGTATTCTCTAGGATCTTTGAAACTGTTTTAATTATCTACCTTTTCGTAATGGCCTGTCTTCATATGTTGTGCGAGTCCTATTTCTTCAGTTTTTTTTCATCGTTTTGCAGGTTTCATCAATAGAAAAGGTTAGGTTCGTACATAAATTTGGCTTGATGATACGTGATCTTCTTTTCTCATTAACAACTTAGAGCAAGCTAATTCTACTTGGGCGTGAAAGCCTTCTCATGAGATACTCATGAGATAACCGTACTGGAGCGTTTCCAGGTCTTCAGCGTAATCACTTCTCCACTTTCTGATACTTATTATTTCGATAATAATATTTCTGTAAGATGACATCGACTTTTGCTTTGTCGACTGGATCGACAGAGGGCGATGTAACAGGTGGAATCGGAAATTCGAATTTATGAGCAACTTGGAAAACTGCCCACTAAGGAATATCATTAAGTAGTATTTCAAACCAGCATTTCAAAGTCCTAGTCTAACAGCAGTATTCGCGGTTCAAAGACCATTCGTGACAACATACAATTACATATTTCTCCTATAACTATGTACCGAGGGTCATTTCAAAGCAATTTTACTGTACTGTTGTGCAAATGGTTTACACAAAACGGACCAATAGCCCGAAGATTTAAGAACTTATACCGTAAGATATACGGATTGTTTTTACACGATTTTTTGGGCTTTCAGAAAGGTCGCTGGCGTCAGTTGTCCTTCCGTTTATCGCCAGTTGACACGATGGGCACGAAAAAATTCTCCATTTGTCTCAGTTGCTCGGAAGAGAACCTCAGAAAGGTCTTCCGCTCCGTGATTGCAAAGAATAATATGGTTTTCTTCCAAAATCTCGGGAAATATCCTACTGTCTGATTGACATGGTTTCTGCCGTATGCTTAACATTCCATGGGGCACACTCAGTAATTGTTTTGGTATACGGTTGTTAAAATACACTGCAACTCTAGTCTACTGTAGTTTCGGCATCTTGGTGTATGTTACAGCGTCTTTAGTAGGTTTTCCATACATGTGGTAGCCTCGGATTCTCTGGTACAGCTTAGGCTTAGGCTTAGGCTTTCTCCACTTCAACGCCTTCGATAACGATCTCTTCTCCTGCGTACGTATAGCTGAGATTTGGAACTGTGCTTGAAGGCAGATAGAAAATGGAGTTGAAGAAATTTTGCACGAATCCTGTCGTTCTCTTTCCTCTTCTTTAGATCCTCAATGCTTTTTGGAAGCTTCTTAAACCATTCGTTCCTTCTTGTTTAACTACTGAGCTTAGCCGCTCGCCATGTTGGCATTTCGATCCAGATACACATTATTGGCGTATTTAAGGTAAACATCCTAATGAACGGATATGTAGAAGTTGGAGAGGCATATGAAAAATCTTAGCGAACCGAACAATAGACGATATTCTCAAGAAATCAGTGCGTCATGTATTTGGACTTATAGATCGTACATCTTCACTTCAATGCTCTGATCTCATTTTCGTTCCAATGAGAGACGGTCGTGAAAAGGTTAAACACTGACCGTTTTTGTTCTCTATAAGCCTCATGGCGACTTACATAAGTGAGGAATGTGCCTAGCTCAGGTTAGAAGGTCAGCCTGAGGTACGAGGTCATTCGTGGTGTCATGATGCCCCTCTTTGCGACTCATTTTTGGATTTTTGAAAATAATCCATAACGTTTTCAGAGTTTGGCGCGCTGATATTTTAGATTTTTGTGTCATGAGAATACTATTCAAGAATTATCTTGGTCGAGCTTAGCGAGTGAAAAAATCCATTCAGTCAATCCAAAATCTTTGTCATTTTTGGGGCATCATCGACGAGAATATGATCCTTCAGGTTTTCACTTTATGCCATCATTTCTGTTTCCCACTTTGTATAGTTCGGTCTTAATTCCTAACCAGTGTTTGAAAAAGTCTTCATTTGTTGTAACTCCCACGACCGACTTTCTGCTAATCTCGGCATTGTTCAAGTAATTTTTTGTATTCTTGTTGAGCAAACGCGAGGTGTTACTTTTGTTCCTTATTCACGAATAAGCTGACGTTTCGGCGGATTTCGCCTTTCTCAGAGCCTGGAAAGGTCAAGTTGACAGCAATCCATTCGGCCAAACGCCTCCATAACCAAACAAAGAAAACGGTAAACCAAGATTTCAACCACATTGAATCTCTCTTCATTTGTTATTCTTATTAAATAACATTTTGGATCCTTGGATTCGATCCCTTACATCATGTTTGAGCATTTGATTGACCAATCGCAATAGTTGCCAAGGCTACCAGGAATTGTTTCATTCTTGGAAGAATTTGAGCTCCAACGAAGCAGACCTTTCTTTGATCCACAATAATCAATGGCAGATAGTGTTAAATAGCTGGAAACCTCCATGCGTAGTGTAATCTCAGCATTTAAGCAAACCTACGCTTAACGGGAATTCAGCATGTCGGTTAGAAGAGAAGCAACAAATCGTGAACCTGTTTGCCGAATGGTCTTACTAACCTGCTTACCGCTACATGTGACTGTTGCAGGACGCATAGCAAGTTGAAGAACGAAGCGATGAGACTCACAAAATATAGGAGGGAAGGCCATCTATGTTTCGCATGTAGTTTGAAAGAAACATATTTTAAAATAAGTGCACCACGACCACAGATGGAGTCAAATGGTGGTCACTTTCAACTTTAAGCCAGTAAGGCCACTAGAGTGAACAGATCTTTGCCAAGAGGATACAAGTTCCCTTGTTTTAGTATGCTCTTGTGTTGACCTTCTGGAGTCCACTAAACGTGTTCATTCCATCAACATCTTTTGCGTCAGTGCTCTTATTTGGAATACTAAAAGCGATTGAATAAATGACATTTCGTTGAGTGCGACACAACTGCGCTTCTTAATGTATGATTTTCACTCTTGTATTGGCAGTTTTAAAGATTTATGTTTCGTTTCCACTTCTTTTTTGAGAATTTCAATCCTGAAACTGTTTGATGGTAGTAGTTGACATCTTGTTGAGGTACAATTGCACCTCTTAAAAGTCCATATGTATGAATGTAAAGAAGAATCATTTGGAACACCTCAATGGAGAGCGGCGAATGCTTCTTATAAAAATTTGTTCTTTCATATATTCTAATTAAGCTTTTTTAGCAACTGTGCCCAAGTACATGGCCGGATACGAAGTGTTTTCCGAACCTCAAAGAGATATTACGCCTGAGGCGGTACTCAAAATTTTTGGTTCTATTGTAATACATGTGTCTTATACTTAACATAGCAATGATTTTATATACAATGTTAATAATTAAAAATATATGTAATAACAATGATGATTCTTTTTACTTACTGCCTATTACTATTTTTCACAGCAGGTTATTACGTGTGACACACCCGCAATGATGCTGAGATATTTACAAAACTTCGGGCTACTGGTGTTTGCGTTGGGGATCGAACACACTATTACCCTTTCCGGGGTTGGCCCGTTCGCCACCACACCATACGGATACTTCGTTTCGCCTTTCTCTCAGCTAGTTTTCTATCTACCAGTGCCATCAGCAATCACCCATCAACGGGACTGATCTGCCACCATCCCATCAACGGAATTGATCTGATGGCACTGGTAGATAGAAAACTAGCTAAGAGACATGAGAAAAGAAGGATCCGCACGGTGTGGTGGTGGACGCGTTAGCTCTCGGAAAGGTTAATAGCGCAATCGTTCTCCACCGCAGACACCTGCGGTCCGGAGTTTTGCAAATATCTCATCATCATTGTGGTTATATAATAACATTTTCATGTTAATATTTGTAACTAAAGCATTTTGCATTGCTTCTATCTTCTTCCTTCAGTTTTTTGTTTTAGAGATTCATTGACTTACTTTACAGGCAGCATCAACGATCAGAGCCCAGTCAGAAGTCCACTATTCGAAGAAAGAATGAAGAAATCCTTTCGTTAATGTAATGTATACTGTTTTGCTTTAGTGACTTTAGTTTGTTCAAGAAATATCCTCGATTCCGTCTTTTTAGATTTTGACAGCTTATTCTGATTATTATTTATCTTTGTGTCCATCATAACCCGAATTCTAAGGTCCACGTCTTGCTCCACAATTCCTTGTTAAGGTTTTTGCTTCTTTACCAAACTTAGAACAAAGACTGCTGATGTAAGAGTAGAAGAACCAAACTCGATCTATTTTTTGTGCGATTCTATATTGGAAAGCATGGTGATGGGGATAGCGATTGAAGACCACGTGGAGGCCATCGAGAGGAGAAGCTGCAAATTTAATTGTAAGGATTCACTGACAACGGTTCGAAAACTTGGTGAGGGCAGAAGTGGCTTCCAGAAAAGTGTCTAGTACAGTATTCGTTCTTTGACAAGCTTACACGAGGTTGATGTGCTGTGCAGGGTTTAGCAAATGCGAACGGCATATGATGGCATAGTTGAGTGCCATCTGGTTAGATTTGATATCGTTATGTGATCAACATTGATTTTTTGGTGCTTCTAAACTTTTGCGATATGGGGCTTAAACGATGGAATTGGAAGACATGGGCACTGATCAGTCTTATCATGTCTGCATTTTATGGACTGACGAAGATTTGAATGGGCGCTTTGCCATGTTTTTTGTGTCGAGTGGGTATAATGCTGAGCTAACTCATTTAGCTGTCATTGAAACGAACATAAGATAGGGTTTTCAAAATGGTGCTATGCAATCGGAGACATTGGCTTTGCAGGTGGGGGCTGCAAGTTGTAGATGAGAGTGGTGGTGTAAATAATTAGAGATGCTTTTTAGTTCATTTCTACTTAGTACAAAACACTTTTTCGTTGGCTAAAGGACCCCTGTTGACGTATATCACTTGTAAATGAGGCAACTGGAGCAGTTACACTTTATGGTGCTGAGAAATGGTGTGGATGATAAAGGTGCTGCTCCGCTATCGTTTCTATGCAATAAAAGGCAATGGTGCCTCATTTCCTGAAGGACATAAAGAGAAATGATTCTATCCTACGTTTATCATTCACATATCTTATATTCTAAAGTCTAAACAAAATATCTGT